CCGTGGAACATCCTGTAGCACATGTCCATACTCAAAATGGATTGGCTGAATCATTCATTAAACGCATTCAATGGATAGCCCGACCATTACTCATGAGATCAAAGCTCCCGGCCTCAGCATGGGGACATGCAGTATTACATGCTGCTGAACTCATACGCATCCGGCCATCTAGTGAACACAAATATTCCCCATCCCAACTACTCTCGGGTCATGAGCCAGACATCTCCCATCTCAAAACATTTGGGTGTTCAGTATATGTACCCATTGCTCCACCACATCGAACCAAAATGGGACCTCAAAGAAGGATGGGAATATATGTTGGTTTTGACTCTCCCACCATCATAAGATATCTCGAGCCAACCACTGGAGATCTCTTCAAGGCCAGATATGCGGATTGCCAATTCGATGAATCGGTATATCCCTCTTTAGGTGGTGAGACAAACAAGCTGGTCAAAGATCTTTCATGGAATCAAACATCATTAAATTGGCAAGATCCTCGGACTCTAGAATGTGATTCACAGATCCAAAAGATTATTCATTATCAAAAGCTAGCTAATCAATTGCCAGATTCCTTTGCTGACCCGACCAAAGTAACCAAATCGTACATCCCAGCTTGTAATGCACCAGTACGAATAGCTGTCCCAACGGGACAGACCCAAGTTGCTACAGAGTCTGCACCACGTCTCAAACGGGGCAGACCTCTCGGTTCCAAAGATAAGAATCCCCGGAAATCAAAGAAAGGTGCAATAGCCGAAACCGGGATTCCTGCAATATCAGACATAGCCGCGGCTGAGATTCAATCTAATGAACCCTCAATGGAAGTTCGGGACGCCGAATCTCTAGGTTCAGAAGATAACAATGAGATCTCCATCAATTACAATATGTCCGGAATACAATGGAATCGAAAAGAAGTCGACTTAAATGCACTCTTTGCATACAAAGTAGCACTTGATGTTGCGCTCACGCAAGAGGATCGAGAACCCACGTCAATAACACAGTGTACACATCGAACAGATTGGCTAAAATGGAAAGAAGCCATAAACGTGGAGTTAAAGAGTCTCAAACTCAGAAACGTGTTCGGTCCGATCATCCGGACCCCATCACACATCAAGCCAGTGGGCCACAAATGGGTCTTTGTGCGTAAAAGGAACGAACTCGGTGAAGTCGTTCGATACAAAGCACGGCTTGTAGCACAAAGATTCTCACAGAGACCCGGAATCGATTATGAGGAGACTTATTCTCCAGTGGTGGATGCAACAACATTCCGATTCCTCATAAGTCTGGCCATAAGAGAAAATCTTGATCTGCGGTTAATGGATGTTGTAACCGCATATCTCTATGGGCCCCTGGACAACGAAATATATATGAGACTCCCAGATGGCATTGAACTAAAAGACAAAAATGCATCTCGAGATCAATACTGCATCAGGCTGAACAAATCCTTGTATGGACTGAAACAAAGTGGGCGTATGTGGTACAACCGCCTCAGCGATTACCTCATCAAAGAAGGCTACAAAAATGACCCCATCAGTCCATGCATCTTCATCAAGAAGTACTCAAACAAAGGATTTGTAATCATAGCAGTATACGTGGATGATCTAAACATCCTCGGAACATCTGGTGAGATCTCCCAAACAGTCGACTGCTTAAAAGCAGAATTCAAAATGAAAGACCTAGGCAAAACAAAGTACTGTTTGGGATTACAACTTGAGTACATCAAAGGAGGAATCCTTGTGCATCAATCGGCTTATATCAAAAAGGTACTCAAGCGATTTAATATGGACCAAGCTCACCCATTGACCAGCCCAATGGTAGTTAGAAGCTTAAGTGATGACCCTCTTGGTCCCAAAAAGGATGATGAAGAAATCCTTGGTCCTGAAAAGCCATACCTCAGTGCTGTAGGAGCGTTAATGTACCTGGCCAGTCACACTAGACCAGACATATGTTTCGCCGTGAACCTCCTCGCTCGATATAGTTCATCTCCAACTCAGAGGCACTGGAACGGTATAAAACATCTCCTAAGATACCTTCGAGGTATTCAAGACTTAGGACTCTTCTATACTAACCAAAATAAAGATGGGTTAGTCGGCTTCGCCGATGCAGGATATCTATCAGATCCGCACACTGCCAAGTCTCAAACTGGCTACGTTTTTACGCATGGAGGAACAGCCATCTCTTGGAGATCAATGAAGCAGACACTCACTGCCACTTCATCAAACCATGCTGAAATCCTAGCCATTCATGAGGCTAGTAGGGAATGCGTCTGGCTGCGCTCCATGACTCAGCACATCCGCAGAGATTGTGGTATGGACGAAGACACACAGCCCACGGTGATGTATGAAGACAACGCGGCATGCATAGCTCAGCTCAAGGAAGGATATATCAAAGGAGATCGGACGAAGCACATTCTACCGAAGTTCTTCTCAACCTCAGACTGGCAGAAGGACGGCACTCTCAGCGTTCAGCAGGTCCGATCCAGTGAGAATTCAGCTGACCTCTTCACCAAATCATTGCCTACTTCAACACACCGGAAGCTCGTCAAACAGATAGGAATGTATAGACTTAGAGATCTGCAGTGATGCTACAATCAGGGGGAGTAATGCGTGTTGTACTCTTTTTCCTTCACCATGGTTTTGTCCCACTGGGTTTTTCCTGGTAAGGTTTTAATGAGGCAACATTCCCCAGCGCATTATCGAGATCCCGATTGAGTAGCTGACCCGGTTCACTCGTCCAAGGGGGAGTGTTATAACACATATCATATATGGACTCTTATACCGGCCCATTAGGCCCATCAGGGCATTGTACTTAACCTAGATTCCCTATGTACTCTATATATACATTCCAGTGATTAATAAAGTTTCTAAGTTTTCACAACAGAAAAAGAATTGTAAGGCAAAATAATTTAGTTCAATATTATGTGTTGGGCTTTTCTATGAGAAAGGCTTCGTTTTAAAATAAAATTAATGTAAAACTTGGTTATAAAACTTGTTTATGTAAATCTGGTGAACGATTTTTGAAAGAGAATAAGAAAAATTAAAATAATATAAGATTAGTTACTCAGTAACAAAAATAGCGACTGATGAATTTAAATATATCAAAATTAAAGATTCGATCGCGCAGTCCAAGCTAAATGAAGATTTGATTCTCAAAGTTACAGTGTATTAATGGAGGCACATAGACTCAACTTGGATGCAACATCTCTCTATGTCTCACCTTGAAAATTCCCCAACCAAAAAGTGATGCAGCATTCTCTTTTTTTTCCCATAATCTCATCTCTCTCTATTTAATATTTATATTTGCACTTTCAAATTTGATAATCAACTAGTTAGATTGTTAGAATATGACAATATGTATAATGTATCAAATGAAACTTTTGACCTCATCGCCCTTTGTCACTTCTTTTTCTTATACGTACCAACTGGCTACACAATGTCGTCCCATTAGTTTTTAACTTTTAAGATGGATAAACTTCCTGATACAAAAAAAAAAAAAAAAAAAACACTACAAATTGATCGAACTCAGATCAATCATGCACTAAACGCTAAACCAGATTTTGACCAGGGTGTTTGAAATGGAGTATTCGCGGACATAGTTCTACAGTTATAATTTTGCAATCTACGCCAACTCATTTTGTGTTTATTTTCATCTCTTCTTAATCAATGAAATATATAACCGACCCTCTCTTTTTTTTTTCTTTTTTTTTTTTTGACTTTTTTGCTAAATGATAACCGACCGTCTTATATGCCAACTATCAATTGTCAAATTCAGCAAACGATTTATAACATATAACATATCCACAAGATATATCATCATATATCCATAACTCTCTTGCTTTAATTAGTTCGTTATCAGCTATATTTATATATACAAACAATCACATGTAATCTGGTGAATTGTGCTAGAACTATCGTTGTATCAACAACCGGATTCATTACCCGCATAATAATAAATGTCGACTATGAAAAAATAAAAATTGTTGTTTAGTATCCGCACACGAGGTCAATTTGGTAAATATAACTTCGGAGATTCTTGTTAGATAGATGTGAGGTCGATATGATTTTCTCGAAGTCTTTTAGTGAGGTCAACTTAGCGAGGTAAGAGTTAGCAATCACAAGTATCGAGTATTTTAGTCTTTATTTCAGATTACGGATCCCGTAATAAATAAAGTTACAGGGTTATTTATAGTGTTCAAATTAGGTTATATCTCAATCAGGGTAGCTTGGACGACCGGGTAGATAGATCTGATCGACCGTCTATCGGAATGTCACGCTGGTGAGTTGTTTCATCTACATCGACGTGGCGAGCTGTTTTATCAACGTTGACGTGGCGAGCTGCTCCTTTGATATGGGAGACTTATCTCTTCGAACGACCTCGTTTTGGCTTTGTGAATGGGTTTGTTCATCTTCGATCTTGCTGGGCTTCTCCAATTTGTTAACGGACTCGGTGGAAATTACAAAAAATGGGTTGTGCTCAGCCCACCTATAACAAAAAAACACCTTGAAGCAAATTCATCAGTGCAGATTTGTCAGATAAGTATACTTTGAACTCGAGATATTAGAGTTTATATGGGCACAAAATAGAAAGCCCATATATTAAGTGTTAAAAAGCCTATAGGATCTGTTTCTTAGATACGACGTCGTATCGAGCTGATCGACATAACAGCACGAGAGGCACGGAAGATTTTTAAAAGATAATTCATCGCAAAGAGTAATTCACTAATTTGCTTCTTTCCTTTTCTCGCTTTATGTTGCCGAGAAAGTTTTGCTCCGTGACCGTAAAATTTCTTGGTTATTCCATTTCTTGTTTCAATTACTTTTTGTTTCAGCAGGTCATATCGATTGATTATGTGTATTTAGTCTGCCATTATTGTTTTGTGAAACCCAATGGTGAATTCGGAAAGAAAGAAACCGTTTCATGATATTTATATTTGGCTCTGTTTTGATGCTAAATGTCTTGTCCTTAGTTCTTGTCTTGATCCTTAGAACGATATAAATTGTATATGATTCTATTGCCTTTTGAGTATTTTTATTCATCCAAATCAAGTCTTAAACTTACTAGTTTGCTACAAAGCATGATGACTACTTACTACTACTTATAACAGAATGATTAACTGAGAGAATATACGACTTTCTAACACACAATTTATACAGACAAAGACCACATGAGATTTCAGCTCAAAATCCCTGCTGCTGCTTTCGACGAGTCATTTGCTGGACCCAAAACCTCTATATCCGTGGCTCAAGTCATGTGATGGATACGTTTGCTTTTGTAAATTTCGGTTTTTGAACATGTATCCAATCTCTCTATTCAACATCTTTTAGTCTGCAAAAAGACTAAATATGTTTGCCTCTTCATTTTTGTTTTCATGACCAAAAATCCCACCATGGGTAATTGCTGCTTGACTGGTCCAAGAGATTAGTATCTGATCTGAAACCTCTCCAGTCATCAGATGATGTCAAGCAACTATCAGCTGGCTCCACAATGTTCATTAACTGATCTGCTTCTTCCTCAAACCCGCCCAAATATTCTCTCTTGATGTTGTTGTTGTTATTATGACCATCATCATGATGGTCATGATGACCCTTCTCACACATCTCCATCTCCGGTCTAAGCTCTTCCTGTTCGCGCCTCGGGTTCTCTTCGATTTCTGATTCATGATCCGTGCTGCTTAGAGCCACCACCGCTTGATCACCACAACACTGCCTTTCTTCCTCCTGTGTTTTCTGCATCGCCTCGTTTAACCTCTGCAACTGCCATAAGAAAGTATAACAACAACAACAACAACTCATCAAAAATCTCTTCTTTGCTTCAATAAACCATAAAAACAGAGCCTTTTTTATCTCCTGGTCGGTCCTGAGTTGCAGTATATAACCACTAGAGCATAGATTCTTATCATTATTAACCATTAAAGCACATAATCACTCTCCTTAAATTAGTCATGTTAAGAGAAACAGAGTCTAAACATACCTCAGAGACTAAAGCTTGCTTTTCTTTCTTGAGGGACTCAAACTGAGAAGCCAAGTCGTTGTAGTTTTGTCTGAGGATGTTGAACTCTGTCTCTAGCTGCTTTGACTTCCAACGAGCCCTCTTGTTCTGAAACCATATTGCCACTTGTCTCGGCTGCAACCCAAGCTCTCTCGCTAATTGAACCTTCTTCCTTGGCTCAAGCCTCGTCTCTGACTCGAACATCATCTCCAGTGACTTGATCTGCTCGTCGCTAAACCTTCTCTGGTTGTTGTTCTTTTGATTGCTCTTCTTCATCTTCTTCATGCTCATGAATGGATCTGCTGACATCATTATCGGAGAATATTCTTCTCCTTCTGTCATCTAATCGGAATTTCCTCAGAGGACCTATGATTTCTTTTTCTTTTCTTTTCTTTTCTGGAATCTCTATGTTTGTGTTGTTGGCTCTCTATATATGTGTGTTGAGGCTGAGATTATTATGTTAACAGTTGTATATATACAGATTTGATAATTTTATTTATTTTCTTTAATAAGATATAAACTTAAGGGGTTGCTTTATTGTAATTTTTTTTTCTTTTTTCTATTTTGAGCTCAACGATTTGTGGATCGACAGGTAGCAGTAGGGGCGGAATTTGGCTGCTTATAGAGGCGTCGCCATCACTTGTTAAGTCGAGTTTCGTTTCAACGCGAACTAACAATTAATAATAATTAAAACTATGAATCATTTGCAATTTTTGACTAATTATAAAACAATTCTAGTGGTTCGTATAGGAATTTCTTTGTAATTTGATATGGAGCTTTAAACGCGGATGGACGTGATACAAAATATCAAACGCTTACCATAATTTTAACTGATGATTGCAACTATTATTTTGTGAATATTTTAATACTCCTATGAATATGTCATCATGTGAGTATATTCTTTTTCAAGTATACATCTGATGTATATAACTATATAAGGACCGATGACATAAAAAATTGGAACAGAACTAACATGATGAAAAAATATGAGTTCCAATTTTTTATGATTCTGCAACAGAACTAACGTTCACAAGTCCGGATGTGGGACGGATGTTAGTATTACGTATGCCACAGATCATATATAAAAGATCTGATCATTTTTTTTTATCGCAAGTCTTTAATAGAGAAGAGCTAGCTAGCTCTATAGATACGTTTTTTTTCTATAAGGGTGTCGTTCTGTTGTATTTAAATCCGATTGTTAATAACCATTGAGGATGTTATAATTAGGAATATTAATCAGCGTTTTTTGTATTAGGTGAGTTTTTGCTTTAGTTAAAGAATTTTTTTTCGTCGTCCATCTCTTTGATTTTTTTTTGAATGAACATCCCTTTGATTTTTGTTGTAATAATGTTTGTGTTAACATTCCTGCAAAGAGGCTAGAACATAGAAATGTTGTCTTTTTACACGTTTAAAACTTTGTTCGTAAGAGCTTTCTTTTGTGATGAGTCCGATTTTTACTTAATGATTAATATATGAGATTTGCCGTAAAAGTAGATAAAAGTTATACTTTATAGATAAAATGTTAATAATCAATACACGTAAGACTTCCATGCAATTATGCAAGTGATTACCTTTGTCAACTCATACTCATATGTGATAATATTTGTTGGCTTATTTCACCAAAAAGACAGATACGTTTTCATCCCAAAAAAAAAGAAAAAAACTTAAGAGGTTCTTTACTTGTTTTTCTTTTCAGGGATCAATATCTCACAATTATGTATTTTTTTTGTCGATCGAAAAACCAGATTTGAACGAAATTGTATAAACTTTATCTTCTACACGGTAGCAATTTAAAACATAGTGGTAGTAGTGTGAAAAGCAACTTTAATTTTTTTTTGTGTGATTAGTTTAAGGTTAACGTTTACCTTGCTTGTCGGAGATTTCTTTTGACTAAGTATTACCAACAGCAAATTAAGTTGGGGCCATCTAGGCATGACATTTTTCAAACCCTAGTTTTATTTTATACATCTGATATTTTGGAGAAAAGAAGAACATAATTCACAACAATAAAAAAAAAATTAACGTAACTTCAATTGATAATTTTCGTTTAATAGGAAAAAAAACATTTATAAAATTTGATTGAAAATGTAAAGAAAGTGGCAATCGAAACCATCAAATGCGGCCACTGAAAACTAGCCAACGGGTTGTAATCAGAGAATGAAAGATCTTTGCTGTGGGACATCAGATTTGATAGAAGAGATGACGTGGCGGTTGATTTATGGTGGTGTGTCTGAATATTTTAGCAAAAGTTCACACGTGTCGCGATTAACTCGCCGTTTCTGATAAGATTGTAGGAGAAGACAAATTCTTCACTTCTTATTCTTTAATTATATTTTATATTTTGTATTTTGTATTTTAATTTCGGAAAAAACGTTTTCTTGTCTATGTTTGTGTTTGCAATCTCGTCGACTTGCCGCGTGTAATATTAATGTTTTCTTGTATTTACAATCAATTAGGACCTTTTTTTGTTAAATAATCAGTACGGTGTCACGTTCACAAAGTTTTTTTTGCTTTTTATATGATCGCAATAATCAAACGACGATCTACCGTATTTCATCATTTCCTTTTTTTTAATAAAAAGGAACTACCGTATTATACGAACGAAATTAGTTTTTTCCTTTATGAATTATGATACCCAATTACCCATAGATTTTTGTCTTCGTATCGATACTTACCGTACTTATATTACATTTCTCATCAAATTAGTTTACATTGGATCTAGTGCTTCTAAGCCTTGTATGTAGTCCATGAGAATCAGTCGTAATTATTCACTTATTTGGTTTGTGACGTTATGTCAATGTTAGAGGCCAAAATATGAATTCGTAGTGATTTTTTTATTAGACGTTAAGTTAAGTTTTGATGATCAAAATATCGATAAAAAAATGCAAAGAACATGCCAAGAGTTTTCATTCAAAAAAAAAAACATGCAAAAAGAATATTAAATGGTAAATATAAGTTCTAACATTTGTTTTCTGCTGTGTGTACTTAGGCGCAATGCATTTCTTTAAACAGTTTTTTATGTTATTTGGTAAAACATACTATATTATGTCTTTACCTTATTTTCGTGTTTAGACCGTAAATTTTCTGTTGCTTCTATAGAGAAAGTTTTTCCTAGCTTCTAAACTAATATATGTGTTACCGCTAACATTTGGTTCAACAACTAAACTCACGGCTAAAGTAATAGTGTGTGAAACAACTGGACGACTTAAAAGTTAATAAAATCTTGATATACAATTAGAAGAATTTACTCTTTACAGTTTACAGACTGTTAAAATGTTAACCTATCTTAGTTTCCAATGATAATATAATATTAGTACCACATTAAATATTATGAAAAGCAACATCAACGTTAATCAATACAAAACAACTCTCTTTTCATAATCTCCAGTTTCCCACAACTGTTTACATAATTAAAAGGGAACATCTATTGGAAACCCTCCATAATTATGGAATGGTATTTTCTTAATGATTATCAGTACTATCTAGAGTAACACTATCACATTCAAATAAATTAAAACGTATATTTGGGTTTTAAATGATAAAACATTATTGTTCATCTACTCTTTTTTTTTTGTTTACCAAGATTCATAAATTAGTTTCGTCACATATTTTTCATAAATTTAATTCTACAATTTTTCTTTTCATGATTTGGTCTTCCGTCTGTGTTTATTAAGCTACTAACTAGTAAAAGGAGATATTTTCGGAAAAAAATGGACAATAATAAACCCGCGACATTCGAAACTTTTCCAATAAGAGAGAAATTTATTTTGCGAAACTCCTAGATATGATGCTAACGAGGTACCAATGAGGACGAGACATTTCGCACCGTCTTATAAAAGCTTATCTTTTCCTGATAATAACTTTATGGGATTAATAGATGAAAACGAAATAGTATATAATTACTTTTGGTCAAATTCATCATTAGTTTATAATGCCAAAAAGGATTTAATAATCATAAATTTATTGTCACAGACGATCAAGTGGCCAACAATTGTACCCTACTTCTTTAACTACTACTACTCGTTAAAGGGATATTGGGAAATAAAGCGGCTCCACTTTTCTTACCGAGTAACTAAACAAATAAAACTCCATCTTTAGATCAAGATATTTTACTTAATACACCGAATCTCCGATTTTAATGATTCATTCATCTAATTTTTTTATCAACTCATGTTTCAATCTCAAAAAGCATGTTAGAGACATCGACAAAAAAAATTTCCAATATATTTATAAGATTAACTATTGAACCAGAGTTACAGTTAATTTTTTATAAGTAAATATAATTAAAATTTGTTACAAATTATAGATTACAGCTTTTTAAAAAGAAGAAACGAAATTAGGAAGAAAACAAAAGCAAATAAGTGAATTTTGATAAAGATAATGAGTGATAGGACATGCACTTTATCCATTATAGAATTTTTCTTTCTTTTTATTTGGTTTCGCTTTCTACGTGGAAAGAATATCTACAGTATGAGGAAGTACAAGTACGTTCATTGTATATGAAAGACTTCATTACTTGCTTATTTTTCATAATTATCTAAACTATAACGTATATTAGCTATATAAAAAATTAAATGTATTGGTCATGACATGAGCTGATGATACCATCTAAAGAGAGAACCAAAAAGATTAGGTGTTAGATGGTTTTGAGTGCTGACTTTGTCGGACCATAGACCTTCACCTGAATTTAGTCACGTTACTTTGTTCGTTTGCTTTAGGTTTCTATCTATTTCCACAGCCGAAACTAATTTCTATATTAAAATGAAGACAATTCTCTTAAATAGCTTATTTTATTAAAGAATTGTTCTAAAATAGCATAGCAAATTAAATTTCCAAAATAACATAAATTTAATATTAAAAAATGATTCAAAGCTCTTATCTCATAAAAAAACTAATTGCTAAACCGAAAAAGAAACTCTAACGTAATGTTTCAATTTTATTTGTAAACTATCTAGAGTAAACAAGTATTTTCACAAAATGATTTGTGCTATTTTATGATATTTCTCTTATCATTTTATAATAGGTCAGTTGTTTTGTTTTATCATATCTATTTCGGCCCACAAAAAAAGCTTATATCTTACCCTGAAATGTGTTATTTGTTATCTTCTGTAAACTTAATCTAATTCCCAATTTTATGAGGCCCATAATAGATGTTTGAGGCCCATTCTGCCTTAGCATTTCTTAAAAAAAATGAAAGGAAGTTCCTTAAGACTCGTTTGAAGTGAACTATAAGCCCACGCTACCCCAAATGGTAATATGTATATATATATGTATATATATATATATATAATATGGTTTAACTGTCATAATCACAACATTCAATGATGAAAGCAAAATGAATTCATAATATATGAAGACTTCATGTACATTGGGTTTGTGATTAAAAAAAGTACGTTTAGTACTAATCGATATAATGTGATTGTTGACAAAGATCGTGTACTTTTTGTTCTTGTAATCAAAG